GCAGGCTGCTCTCAACAGCAAACCCCTAATTATGTTTCCCTTTGAAACAAGAATTCATCATCTGGCTCTGGTTATGATCAAGGCTGAGATTTTGAAAACCAAGGGCTAATATAATAACATGCAAACCAGATCAGGTTCAGTGACTTAAATCCTGTCTCCCACAGAAAGCTTTTCCGGGAAAAGAACATGAAAATAAAGCAATCATATAATGAAACTTCCTCAGAATATCCTCCTAGTCTCCAAGGATTTGCAGCACGGGGAATTCTTCAAAATTAAATTGCAGGTTTGTGTGTAATTACCCTGAATGGATAAATTTATGGTCAGAATTTACATGAACTTTCAGTATCCACTATGCCCAGTGACTTCTGATACAGATAAAATGCACGTTTAGAGATGCTGGGGAGAATATTGTGAGTCTGTGCTTGCCATGGAAATACCTTTCTGTCTGGGGCAGGGAGATGCAGAGAGCAGATGTGCTTCCAGCTGATTCCTGGGAAAAGCCACCTACTGCTGGAAAAGAAGGTGGTGTGCAAATACATTCAAATGCCAGAAACATTGCTTGCCTAGAACTTGAGTATCACTCTGGCTAGAACTGCCAGATTAACAGGATTATGTATCTCGACATTATCAATGCAAATTAAAGAGGTGATGAGCCAGGGGGAAAAGGAACTTTTCCAAGGATTAAGTAAGTGAAAATGTGAAAATAAGCCACAGTCTGGGTACCTGTGATTTTTACAATACTCTCATCACCAATACAATGGGAAGAGATATTTTTGGAAGCCTGTTCAGCCATCAGTGAGTGCAACCAGAGAACATTTGGTCCTCTGTAATGTACTTGCAGCCAAGAGAAAAAGTTAGAATGACATCTTTTGATGCTTGCATCAGAAATGAAATTGCCTAAGTTAAATACTGATGTATGAAGTATCCTGAACAGGAAGCACACCAGTGCCAAATGTGCCAGACTGCTGACCTGGTAATACAGGGTACCAGGAATATTCGCCTCTGAATGAATCCAGAAGGAGCAAAAGGAAATAAAACTACTTGTAGTGCCTATATTTTGTTACCTTGCTTCTCAGTGCTAATAAAATTCTGGTGTAACCTTAAGGCAATTGCCTATGAGGTGACTATTCTATTTATTGCAGCCTAATTATCCAAGTCCATTCGTTAAATCATATTTCGAATCTCTCATCTGTATTCATCAAACTCCCAAGTCTTACTTCTTGACAAATAGTTATGACAACAATAATATTGACATTGGGGGGATCTCAGGCTCGTGATGTCTGGATAAATTCCCACAGAGTGGGCCATGGCAATCATGGCCTTCCCTGAACTGCACAACACAGAGCAGACCCCACTCACCTCAGCCTGGCCCCTCTCACCTCCCTGGTTCTGCCTCTTTGTCACACGTGGGCACAACAGGGTTTCATGAAGCAACAGTCACACCAGGAGAGGATGGAAATCTGTTCCTTGATGTCTGAGCTGGCAATGATGCCTCTCAACAAGAACCAAAGGGGCTGCATCTGCTTTCTTTGTGCCAGAGCCATTCTCTTCCAAGGGCCTTAAAAACAGGCTGGGATTACACCAGCTGCTTCTACTGACACCTACACCAAAGATCCCACAGCTGCATCCCCCACAGCACTAAGGTCTAGTAGATGTTTCCTTACTGAAGAAAAGAAAATGCCTCCTTGGTAAATAATAGTAGGTAATGCTGTGTACTCAAGCAGATGCCCTTCCTGATCAAACAGTTGACTTTTCTCTGCATGTGTGGGAACAAGAAGAAAACGTGAACTGCATCATATGCAGGAAGACTTCTACAAAACAGTAGGCAAGCAAAACCCTGTCTGGCAAAAGGTATAAGGCTAATAGGAAATGCTCATGGCAGAATTTAGTTTTCTCCATTCATTTAACTAGGATCAGCTCCAACAGCAACATTTGATTTCCCAGGTGATAAAGCCTTATAGGCATTTTCTCAGAGAGTCTAAAAATCATTTTTCTTTTCCTGGCCAAAACACCAATCACTCATAGCATGAGAATTATTGACAACAACCTCTAAATATAAAATGGGACTATTAACAAGTAAATATTTTGTCAAGATTTGCAAAACTACTAATACATGGTTTCTTTTAAATAAGTGAAGGCTCCAGCTATGGCATTCCACTCCTGAAATGTGCAACAATTGCCCTTTAGCCTCAGTAAAGCTCTGGTACCAAAGAGCTTGTGGCAAACTGAGAAAACTGCCCTGCATGTGAAATCTTAGGACTGAAAATATCTCTGTAAAGAGCAACAAGAAGAACACTACAAACACTGTGGTATTTGGAAAAGGCACAACCATTTAGCTTTGGCTTCAGATTCAAGCAAAGACCCAATGTAAATATATTTATTACCTTACTTAGTTGTAAGAAGATACCAGCAGAGGTCTTCAGCACCCTCTGGCCCAACAGGCTCTACAGCCAGCTGGAGTGTACCCCCTCTCCATATGTGGTTTCCCAAATCTTTTTGGAAGCTGATTTTGGCCTGTTTTGGGAAAAGTGTTATCTGTCTGCAGTGTGGGAAAATCATTCTGTTTTTCTGTCATTGCTCTGGATAGACTCACCCACATACACTCGAGTCATGGGAAGTGGCATGATTCAGACAGCTCTCAGAAATTACTGCAGGATGTCTTTGGAAGTGAAAACAATTATCAGGAAATCACAGGGGAGAAAAGTTAAAATTTCAGAAAACATCAGTATTTATGTGCCTTGGAACACAACACTACATCTTTCATTTTCTTGGGCTATTGTCATTCCTCTTTACTAAGTCTAATGATTTATGTCTCTTACTCTGAGGATTAGAGAAAGATAAAGGACAAAATAGGTATTCAGAAAAAGACAGCACTTAGAGGACATGAAAAAAATCCTTTTTCTATGGATAAAGGAAAATGCTTGACGTCTGGATTTTAAGACCTGCTGTTCTGAAAGTGCTGTCCACCTAATGCACACTTGTATCTGCTGTCTGCAAGGTCTCTGGACAGCACTAGCACAATAAGTCTCCAAACTGCAGAGTTATGGACTGAGAGTTCGTGTTTTTAGGAAGAGAGTTTTGTTAAGACATCATCCCTTGCCTAAGCAGCAATAAAGGAGCATTAAAAGGCAGTAAAGGTAATTATGGGACTTACTGGGAATCTCAAAATTTGCCAGGAGGTAAAACATTACAAAAGCTACTTCACATAAGGAACACAAGTTTACATGCTGCAAACTCACTGAGCTGCTGTAAAATTACTTTATATTAGAGGACTTAAAGAATATAGCAGTTATTCATGAAAGAATAAAATATCCCATGTTTTCCTGGTGCTTGAGATATTTTTCTCTTTTGAATCTCTTGTCTGACTCTTTATCTTGTATATACCACAACACAATCCGAGAGCAGTAAATATCACAAATTTGATCTTGTCCAAACTGAAGTGAATGGAAAACTGCCAATGGGGCTCAAAGGACAGAGAAAATGAGTCCCCAAAGTAGACGTTAATAATAATCACTGTGGTAACAAGCTCCATTCATCCTTTCACTTCTGTTTTGCATGTCTTTTCTTATTTGCTTTAGGGAGGTAATGATATGGAGGCATGTCAAAAGAGTATTTTCCTCACACATATTAGATATGCAGAGGCTGTTTCTGTCTCTGGACTGGCCGTATCATAAGCAGTTTAAATTGCAAACTACCCTCAGTGGAGCTCCTGATTTACAGAGATTGACTGGCCTGGAATTTGTACTTCTAGCATTGACAAAGGCTTGATCTTTCCCCCTGAGGAAAAGGCCAGTCCTCTGTTACCCTGAGAACACATGTTCCACCCCAGACAAATAATAGAGAAGTTATTCAGCTGCTCTTGTTGTCTTACCTGATGCCCACTGGAATAGTTCTCTTTAGAAAGCTGCTGTGATTGCTTCTAAACTTATTTCAAACTGCTGCAAATCAGATACAAATCTTTCATAAAAGAGGAGTTAACCACATGTAAAACATTGGCTGAGTTAAGGGAAGATTATGCATTGGTTTTGAGCAAGTCCTCTTGTCTTTTAATGATAAAGGGGCCCTATAGAAGGCAGCAAATCTCAAAGTGCTCTCAGCTTCCAAGGAACTCTCATGGAAAGGGCAGCAAAGCCCATCCCTCAATGGATCCCTCATATTTTAAGGCAGATGAAGATCCAGGGGGCCAAATCAGGAGTGCAGACATAAAGCTGCATTTCCTCTTGTGAATTACCCTTCAAAGCCAACAAACCTCAGCAGCCTGAGCAGCTCTTTGAGGGGTCACTGTGCCCCCTCCTGCTCCCCAGGCCCCCAGCCATGGTGCCAGGGGCTGAGGGATGCCCGGGCCCTTTCCTGGCTGCTCCTGGCTTTGGTTTTGGGAGCAGAGCTGTGATGAAACCCTGATATCACTGCTACCATGCACTTCAAACACTGCCCAAGGCCACTGCCAGCTTTGAAAAGAGACGTCTGAGCGATACCTCATTCCTGCGACTGCCGGGCAGGGCAGTGAGCCCCGCTTAGCGCTGTCCCGGAGGGGAGGCAGAGCCGGGCAGAGGCAGAGCGTGGATCCCTGAGGGCGAGAGGGCACAGCCCGCCCGGAATGGCAGAGAAAACCATCGGGGAGCCCCGAGGGCCACGGGGACGAGCTGAGGTACGGTGTAGAGAACAGCGCAGGCAAGAGAACGGACTGGGAGAGACTGGGAGAGGCGCTGGGAGCGTCCCTGCCGGGCTGGGGAGGGGCGGGCAGCGGGCACGGTGTGCTCCAGAGTCCGGGCTGGAGTTCCGTGCTGCACTCCCCGCTCCACAGAACCACCGCCGGACCGGGACCGTCCTCAGCAGCGGGGGGCTCGGGCTGGGCTGGGCTGGGCTGGGCTGGGCTGGGCTGGGCTGCACCGCCCGGCCCCTCGCTCGCTCCGCCCGGCGGGGCTGAGCTGGGCGGGGCGGTGCCGAGGCCGAGCTCCGGTTCTGGCTCCGGGCAGCGCCGCGGGTTCTCCGCCGGCACCATGGGCCGGGACGGGCCGTGGCTCAACCTGTCCGGCAGCTCCTGTGCGGCGGGCGGGCCCTTCCCCGCCGGCACCGCCGCGCTGCTGGCCGCGCTCATGGGGCTGCTGGTGCTGGCCACGGTGCTGGGCAATGCCCTGGTCATTCTGGCGTTCGTGGTGGACCGCAGCCTCCGCACGCAGGGAAACTTCTTCTTCCTGAACCTGGCCGTCGCCGACCTGCTGGTGGGTGAGTAGCGGGGCGGCGCGGGGAGGGGGCTGGCTCCGCACGTGTCACCGCCGAGCTCTGTCCGCAGGCGGCTTCTGCATCCCCCTCTACATCCCCTACGTGCTGACGGGCGAGTGGAGGCTCGGCAGGGGCTTGTGTAAGCTGTGGCTGGTGGTGGACTACCTGGTGTGCACCGCCTCCGTCTTCAACATCGTCCTGATCAGCTTCGACAGGTTCATCTGTGTCACCAGAGCGGTAAGGGCTGGGCAGGGGCTCCAGGGCTGCCCTTCCAGGCACGGGGGTTTGCTTAGGACACCTGGCTTTCAACGTCCTTGGGCCTCTCTCGAACAGCACATGAGACAGGGGCGATCGAGGCAGCTCCTCTCAGGCCTGGAAATAGTTCTGGGAGTGATAAGCTTTGCCAGAAAATGCATTTCCTTCTCACTTTTACAGTGGAGGAGGTACTCCGCTTTAGAAACAGGTACAGGCTGTGGCTGCAGAGGGAACAAGGTGTACTCATTTCCTCCCCAGCTGCATCTTGAATAAGCTTTAAAGGTACTGCCCAGCTGGCCCGGAGCTGCTGGCTCAGGACACTGCCTGATAGCCCAGGGCAGCCCAGCAGCGGCACAAGGCAGACACCTCCTTGCAGAGGGTATCAAACTGCCAGGGGAATTGGATGTGAGGCTGTGTATGGGTCAAAAGTGCAGATTTTAAGTTAACATCCTGCACAGGATGCAAATGCTATTTCCATGTAATGGCCACAGAAACAGAAAAGTCGTGTCTGCAGCATGCCACTTATTAAAAAGGGAAGATTAGACTTTGCACTTAATTTTCACCTAGACCATAACGCCTCAAAGTATTTTGGATGGTGTCAAAATAACACATTTTACCTGTTAATAGGTTTCACACTTCTACCCACACTTCTTGGTTATGTTCCACCCACATTTTCTTAAAATTTTCATTTAGGTTTGTTGCTCATTTAAATCACAAACAGTACAAAGAGAGGTTGCAGAATCAATTCAGCAGTTTTACCAACTTCTTTTTGAAGAGGGAAAAATGAACAGATTAATTCTTAAACAGTCAACACTCAGAATTCCTTTATTTTCTAGGTTCTGAATTATCCACAATTTTTTCTTTCATAAACTAATCTTTCATGACTATGCACATTGTATAAATATATAAACTAGATGGTTTCAGAAACAGAAATGGAAACTGGTCATAATAAATGAAAATAATCATCCACTTTAAAATACTTCAAATTAATCCCTCATATAAAAATCCCTCCCCAAGCAAGAATATAGAAAATGACTGTTGGGTTAGGGCAGTATGAGAACATATAAACAGGAATATCTGAAGTTCCAAATTATTCTCCATCTCAATGAAAATGGTAACTTCCTCCAAGACTGCTCCTGAAATCATTCATAACTTTGTTAAGGACTGCAAAAATCAGACCCAATTCAGACACACTCAGGTTTCCTCAGCACTGTGGCTCCTCTACCAGAACAGCACTGGCTGTGGAGATCAAAGCCCACAGCTGGGGGGCAGTAAATACGAACCCTGTGCAGAATTTAAGGCTGAGGATTTCATATTCCAAACGCTGTGTGGCTGCACTGTGGACATGAAGGGTGAATTCCAAGCCACTACATGAGCATTTGTCCATTGCCTCAGGGACAAACATTCCAGGGACTTTAATATTCTGATGAATTCCACTGCTGATATGGCCTTACTGACACACTTATTATTTCTGCACCTTAGCTTCTCTATTTTCTAAATAATGGAAATCAGTTATTCTTCTGTAAAGCACTTTGCAGACCACAACATTCCATCAATACACCTTAACTGCAATCAGGAATTCTGCAAGTACTTCATGAAAGGATGAAATTAAGTATATCAAACAGAAGATGTTGTATAGCAAATATTTTGTGTGATTTTCACATTAAGAAAAAGTCTCTCTACAAAATAGAAAGAAGCTGCATGCTGTTCTGTGAATTCAAACCCTTTTATGTGTTTAAAATGATTTTAAAATTCCAAATAAAGGGTCAAATAAATGTTTTTAACCATTTTCTAAGCAGGTATCACACCTAAATCAATTAAATATGAAGCAATTGGTGAAAACCAATTTTATTCAATAGGAAGAGCAGTGGTCACTTGCTTTGAAGGAGACTGTTTTTGAGCTTTTAAGATCTGATGCATGTTCTCAGAATTTATCTAATCACCTTGATAAGGTTTCTTGGAAGGCAGATTTCAGAAATAACTCTTCTGTGATACCAGTAAGTTTGGTCTAACCCTCATTCCAACACCAACCCCTCCAAAGTGACAGAGAGGGCCATGCTCCAAAGCAGCCACATAACTGTTTGGGATATGTGCAATGTGTGTGACTTTTGTCCCTCAGGTCAGCTACAGGGCTCAGCAAGGGATGACCAGAAATGCAGTACTGAAGATGATGACTGTATGGATTGCTGCTTTTCTCCTCTATGGGCCAGCCATCCTCAGCTGGGAGCACATTGCCCAAAAGAGCATCCTCCCTGAAAGAGAATGTCATGCAGAATTCTTCTACAACTGGTACTTCCTAATGATTGCCTCTACTGTTGAATTCTTTACACCTTTCATCACTGTTATGTACTTTAACTTAAGTATTTACCTTAACATCAGGAAACGCACATTGCTCCGAAATGAAAACCTCTCACGTGGTCAAGAGGACTGTGAAATGAATTTCCAGGGGGGAAAAAAGGAACACACTGTGTTTTTTGTAAAGCCAACTAACAAACGTGAGAAGAGAGCAAGCAGCCTTCTTCTCCCAAAGAAGGCTCCAGGGCTTCAGGCCTCAGCTGAGCTTGGCAGTCAGCCATCAAATCTGAGTGTCAGTCATGACCTTCCACCCCTGCAGGTGGATGTAGAGACCAGGCCTCCCAGGAATGGCTTCTTCAAAGCACCAGAAAGCCTTTGCCAGCCCAGCAGCAAAGTGGACGTTGCTAACATTATGGCAAACAGATTTAGACTGTCCCGGGATAAAAGAGTAGCCAAGTCTTTAGCAGTTATTGTCTGTGTGTTTGGGTTGTGCTGGGCTCCATACACACTCCTGATGATCATCAGGGCAGCCTGCCACGGGCACTGTGTGCACCAGTCCCTCTATGAGATCTCATTCTGGCTTCTGTGGCTGAACTCGGCCATTAACCCTGTTCTCTACCCACTGTGTCACATGAGCTTTAGGAAAGCCTTCATAAAACTCCTGTGTCCACAAAAGGCCAAAATTCATCCTGACATTTTGATGTGAAAAGTAAGAAGGCTGAAAAATTAGTGTATCTTTTATTTGGTGGGAGCACCAAAAAGCTGGTATTGCAATACCTGCAAATATTTATGGAATACTGATAGGTAGGCACAAGTGTAGATATTTATGAATATGTAGAAATACAGTCAATCAATGTAGCTGGGAAAATCACAGCAGTGAAAAGAAAGGTCATTTTTCAAAGCTCTTTGGAAAATTACAACAACAGTGTATTTTCTGGTAATGGTGCACTAGTGTTGAAGAGCTGAAAACAAAAAACAACTTTCATGGCTAATAATTGGAGTTCAGGCTCTGTCACTTTTAATAACTAAATATTGCTGGAATTTCATAAAGCATTAATTCTGCATCTATTATATCTTACCCCAAACTCACTTCAAGACATCAAGGGTCTCAGTTGTTAAGTCTAGGATGCTTCCCCCCACCTCCACTTAGTGGCAAGCCAGACAAGACATGACCAACAGTAAAAATACAGGAAAAGCATGGGACAGGAGGCAGCACAACAGTGATGTTACCAGAGAAGCTGAGCAACTGTAGCAGGTAAGGGAGCACTGATCTGAGTGGAAAAGGTGATGGAAATAGAAAAGAGTAGAATATTTAGTAGAACAAAGTCCAAGAACAGAAGTATAGAAGGGTTTTGAGCTTTGTAATAGGAGATAAAAGAATCAGTAACTTATACAGTGGAAGAGTTTCACTAGGAGTTCCCTCCCTCAGCAGTGACTTCCTGCCTCCCACCCAAATCCTGCATAGGCAGGAATCTACTGAGGTCAGAACTCTACTCCTTACAGGGCTGAGGGTATTACTCTGTGCTTTGCTGTAAGAACAGAGTAAGCCTAAGTAGTCTATGAGATCCATGACAGAGCTTTAGGTAAATTTCCCTTTCAGTAATTTTTAAAAACATTTACAGGTGGACCTTTACTACTTCTGGCTAGATTAAAACAAACAAATAAATAAAAAAAGTGTTGTTTTCCCCTACCCCACCCATTGAATCTTTCTGTTCTTCAAGTCATTAGTGATCAAGAAAGTATCACTTGAAGTGTTGAGATATTTCCCAGGTTATGCATCATGACTGGCATGACACACAGTCTGTTACAATTTACAGCCTTGCTACTGCCCAAGAGTGTCTCTGCCATTGTGCCTGTGCCACAGGAGCAGCTCATACAACTGATTCTGAGTTTGGAGTAATTTGTCCCACCAGGTGTCACACTGAGCATCACTAAAGATATAAATTTGTTCCACCATCACCAGCTACATAACCTCACAGATGCTTTCCTTTGCTGACAAGTGATAGTTACTGAACAGCTCTAGTTGTCCATTGCCACAGTCAAAATGCATGGTAACACAATCTTACAGTTTACAGGCAGTAAAATGGTTTACTTTGTAAACTTTCAATAAAAGTAATTAAGAGCTGTGGAAGACTTGTAAGTGTGTAGCCCTAACAAGTGGGAGACCGTGGAAAAGCACCAGTCTACAACATCTGGGTGACTGCAGTTGAAACTGCAAAACTGATATTCAAAGACACTTCCAAATTACAACGACTGACACTGAGGACTTAACAAACATGGTTAGCAAACACTGCAATCTAGGAGGACATATCCCTACACTATGAATGTATCCACATGAACATCATCACCACATTCTGCTACGGATGTGCTACAACAAAACAGCTTAACAGTTCTCCTATGAGGAATAGTTTCAAAAGATACAGAGCAACATGAAGATTTTCGAATTAGGATCAATTATAAACCTGGGGAAGTAAAGCCTTTAAATTATCTCCCCATTCATTCCTCCTCCATTCCAAGCCAGACTTATTCATCAGTATATTAATGATCTAATTGTTGTATACTTTGCAATTGTTTCCTAGGATTGTATTTGCCTTTTTCAGAAAACAGGTAGCACTAAATTACTGAACAATCCCCACCAAAGTCTCATTTACTATCCAATCAAGCCAGGACACATTTTCAGAAAACAGTGGTCACTCAAGGAGTAATGCAATTCAATCAGTTATGTTTAGAACACCACGTTCAGTAAAGGCAAACCAGACAGGTCAAAACTTTCAGCACCTGGCATTAACCCACGGTCTGGACCAGCTTCCCAGGAGCTGCTCTACTGCTCAGTGTCCTACAGCACTGCCATTGCATTGCCATCAGCTCTCTGGCACAGAATCCAGTAGGATTCTTCCTCACTCCAGGTATGTCATAAGAGCATTCTGAAATGTGAGCACACATCATCTCAGCACCATTTAACACTGGGTCTGTATCATAAACTCCTACATTACCAACGCCAGCAGCCACCCAGCTCAGCCAGGGTAACTATGCCTTGATTTTTCTGTCCCTACAAAACAAAAGTTCTTTCACTTTTATCAGAAAGTTCAACATTAGCTTTGGGTTCAACAGTGGGCTCTGAAGAGACATGAAACAACAGATGTTAATAGCAACTTTATTGTTTCACCGGTGCAAAATCATGATACTGAATAAACTTGTGTAATGCATTTTCCCCTAAATTTACAGTAATGAAGGTTATACATATCTATATAGATTGCAATTTCTCTATTTTTTTATACTATTTGGAACAAAATTATCTTGATAAATATGCCCTGTGCACAGTACTGGCCCTCACTGAATGTCACAGAGCCTTAATATGCAAAATATAACTTCTGTTTTTGAACATGGTACTTTAAAACTCTCCAAACATGCATTAATATATTCTAGTTTTAGGGAAAAATATTACACTTAGTCTTAACTCGCATTAAAAGAAAAGCACAAGCAGAATTTGACATACAATAATCCCAAAAATCTGATGCTCTGTAAAGATCAGACACAGTTTCAGCTGACAGTCACTGCCAGTTTAGAGCTCTAGTGCTACAGAAGCAACAGTGAACAGACAGAAGAGAAATCAGAACTGAAGAGCCCTACCATGTCACATGGATTTCAAAGAAAGTTTCAGCCATGCTAACTGATGAAACCTGTAGTTGCTGGTCCAACCTTCCAAATTTGTTAGAGTACTCAACACAAGTGTTTGAAGTGCCAGACTGAACACATGAATGTTAACTTGACATTTCTGAAAGGCACAACCTAGGAACCTATCTTAAAAAAAAGGTATGTAAATGAAAACAGGTACAGTGAGTGTCTTTCTAAAGAACAAGACCTTCATAAATTGGCCCCTCAGATTCTGGTGATTCCCTCCTCAGACGCAAGTGCTCCAGTGTGTTGTGAAAGTGTTTGTTAATTTGTTCTGTTTCTTCAGTAGACTCAAGGTTTGGGAGATCTTCTCTGATCTTCTGTATAAGCTGATTCAAAACCTGAATTGTCACCTACACAACATAAAACAGAAGTCATCAACACCACCTGTGTACAAGTGCAAGACACTGGTTTTAACAGACTTGTCTTCAAGCTATCTGTATTTGGACAATCCTTCAAAAATGCCTTCTCTGGCTCCACACAGGACCCTTCCAACTCCAGAGTTCTGTGGAAATTCCCCCATCCCAGCAAATGTGAAAAACTTGTCATTAGCCTGATAGATTTGTAACTATTCCAACAGCATTTCTCTCCACTGTATTCAATACAAATTTAAAAAGCTTCAAACAAATGGAACACCCAATCAGATTGTTTATGCACTGTGAGATAATTGTCAGTCAGGATGGTAATATCCAATTTAAAGTTATTCTTAGAGAATAAGTCATGGCTGCCCACGGGCTGTACTACACAAAATGCACTGCAAGCCACCAGAATATCCAAAGAATATTTTCACATCCACCAAGTGCTTTGAAATTCAAAGCTTTATTTTCATCTCCATCTCCTATACTAGAGCACTCCTATGCTGAGAAGCCAGTTTAGTTATTGGAAATAAACTAAATAGCAAATCCCTCAAATTTCTTTGGGAATTCTCTCAGAACTACAGGGTATTCTTTAATGTCTGCCCTCAATCAATGACATCAGGAGACACTGATCTCTACTTGACCAAGCAGGTTTTTCAAACTGTGTAACTCTTCTTTATCTGCTAGCAGAAGATGGATCAGGTAACTATCTCAGATTATACACACACACACAATTTAAGATGAGTACATATGGTGTCATATCTATTTTGTGAAATTAAAGCTTACATCAACCTGGCAGAGCCACCAGTGACCATGAACACCTGCAAAGAATTCTTTCCCTCATGTACACATTAAGTTAGGTACCTCTAAAGCTAGAATTTTACAACTTTCTCATCTAAGTTGAAGTAAGTTTTAATCTAAAATATTCCAGGTATACAAGTCTCACAATATTTAAATTCATAACTGAACTGCGAACATTTCCCCCCAACGTGAGAAGAACAAAGTTAAATCCAGTAAGTTTTACTAGCACATCAAGAGACACAAGAACTGGTACCTCTCATGAGACTGCCGGGCAAGCTGAAGAGAATTTGTGATTTGTGGTGCAAGTGTGAATGAAGAGCTTAAAGAAACACTCTTTAAAAAAGTTGCAACAGAATGGATTTCCACTCACCGCCTCATTTTCCTTTTCATAAAAATAGATATATCTATTCAGAATTTCTATGAAAAGCTGGACTTGCAGAGAAGGGTCCATGCACTGGTTTGCTATCTTCAGAGCCTTCTTTAGGCATTCCATCACTCTTTTTCCTCCATGAAGCTAGAAGGAAAAACATCAAAGTTACAAGAAACAAAAGAACCTAGGGAGCTCCAGTATCTCTTCCCTTGGTGCACATAGCATTTCCTGGGGGTCTGCCACAGAAATATAAACTATACAAACTGCAGAGCAAGCTGTCACTGAAAGCCCACCCTGCCTGGCTGCCCCCAACATTAGATTTTGCTACATCACACAGTAACAAACAGTTGTTGAAAGCCTTCAATTATGAGATCAATTAACTCAATTTCATAACATGTACCATAATGCATACTTTGAAAAATGTTTCAAACACTACTCTTTAAAATGACAACAGCTTATGTGACAAGCCCTGGAGAACATAGTATCTTTTTACCTTTACTTCAA